ATATTGGGTATCTGATTGAATACAATATTAAATTTCTAACAAATACCAATAAGATATGCACATAAATTTGTACATATAAATGTATAAACATATATTATTTCATTTCTATTCTAAAATGCAATCAAATTCAAATCAATCTTGCAATTTCCTCTGATGAGATCTTATCTTCAATAATTAATTTAAAATACCTTCATCTATGGATAAACTAAATTTCGATTTAATATTTGCTTTGCTGATGTTCAAAAAAACAGGACAAAACATGTTGCCAAAGGATTCAGCTCCCCGAGGTCAGTGAAAATATCATTTATCAGTCATCGTCTATTTCTGCATTTGCAAAATATGCAAATATGCTGGAGAAAAAAAAACAACAATCCATTAATCGGAGGCAATTAGAGGCTGCGGCAAATGTCACTTTGATGACCTCTGACCCCGTTTCCCCCATATTCCCATTCTGCCGAATAATCCTTGACCACTTTGGCTATATTAATCCGCATCCGGATTGCGGCAGACAACGAAGAAGCAGGACACACACACACAAAAAACCAGCTCCACATTTCAATTTGATGACCCGATGACCTCGCCCCCAGTGGGCGTGGTCTGTCCGTTGTTTGCCACATTGAAGGGTTAAAGGCCTTAAAGTCAACACTCAAGGCCTTATCAGGGCTGCCGTCGAGGAAAGGGAAGGCCATCGCATCGCATTTTAAAGGACACACACACACACAGCAGTATCCTTTTGTTGCGGCTAAGCTTTACAAATTCGTTATTAAGATGTTTTTAACCCAAAAAAAGTACAAAAATAAAGTGCCTCGAACGAAGCTGGGCCAAAAACCAGAGTTTTTAAAAAATGGCCACAAATAAATGAGCAGATAAATAACAAGTTTGTCCCAGCGAAGCTTTTGTGATGGGGGGAAAAGAGGAATTTAGGGGAATCCCCTTCTGCCCGCAGGTATGTTTTGTGTTGTGATAAGCTTACGGGAATGTCGCTCCAGGACAAGCAATTTAAGCGATGGCAGGACCTCGCACAGAGATACACTCGCAACACACACACACACACATTCCCCTGCAGTTTGTCACTGTCCTTTGGGTCACATATCGCCCAAAAACTAATTTCATCAAATGCGACTTACTGGTCACAATAAATTGAATGTTGATGGGAAGCAAATCAGGCCAAAATCAGGCAATAGTTTTGTTAGCAGAGATTGAATAATAAGTTTATGTTTATTTGTTTGATAGAGATACCTGCCGAGGGGAATTAGTTTATCACTCAGAGACTTTGATTTAATATTTATATGGAAAACTGATTGATGGAAATACGATTTCTACAATGTATTTGTAGTTTTTTCAATTTTTTTCCAATGTAATAAATCAATAAAAGTATATATCCTGAAGCTATTCCATTGTTTTGAAATATATTGTAATATCTAAGTAATTTTTTTGGCCTTAAGCATAAATAAAGTCAAAATAAATCCCCAATATAGGAAGATAGGGTTAACATTAAATCTTAAACCTACTTTTTTTAGACAATCTAATAATTTTGGATAAATAATTCATTAATAGATTACCTTTATCGAATTTTAAACCCACCCTTATGTATTATGCTGCACTTTTTCACTTTTAACATATGTATATTTATTTAAATTTATTTATTGCCTCTCTTTTATATTTCCCATGTAAATATAATACAAATGTCCCTAAAATATACACATATATATATTTTTCCACTTCCACGAATACATAATTAAATTAAATATATACAAATGTATACACATGAAAGTACTGGAGGCTGCACATATGTTACGTATACGCAGCGTTGAACACTTAAAAATGCTGGTCACCAGAATCTACGCAATTGCGTGGCTAAAACCATAAATCACAATGCCTGGACAATGCCAACACCTGCCCAAAACTGAACTGAGTTGGGGTTTTCAGACTATAGTATAGAATAGATATATATATGTATAGGGGAGTATAGCCCGCGGCAGGTGGTGAGCCCTTGAGCAAATGCACTAATTTCCACCTTTGGCATGCATATTGATATATCAACAGAAAACTATCAATGCATTCAGGTGTGTGTTTTGTTGTGTTGTGTGTGTGTGTGGATGAGTGTGTGTTGTACCTGTATGAAGTTGTTGTTTGCCTTCAGCAGCGTCATTAGCATCAAAGTAAATTTACGTTTATAAATTAGCCCAAGGGCGTAACGAGCTGAATGGTGGCCATAATTCAGCTAAATCATATGAGCAGAGACAGAGGCCAAGAGAGACAAAGAGCCAGAGTGAGATGAAGAGAAAGTGTTAGAAAGAGAGAGAGAGCGAGAGAGTAAGAGAGAGGGGAAGGTGGCTTGGAAGCGGAGGATCCGGCGAAAGACCTGAATGTATGCAAAATACTTTGCCGGAATTCCTTCACTCCCGCCAAAAGACACTGAACGGAAAATAAAAATGAAATGAGTCGAATATTTTATATGACAATTTAGATTAGAGATTGAGATTTATAATAAGATTTTAATACAGTATTTTTAATTAAATAGCATAATGCTAGTTGAAGTTAAGGAGAAGAGTCTCTTGGATTATTACTCTTTTTATAGAAACACATTTTATGAATTAATTTTTAAGGGATTTTTAACTTTCCCGGAAGAAAATTATGTTTAACAAAAAAATACATAATAAAATTCATTTTGAATTAAAAACAGAATAAAATTAAACATTTAAGAATGAAATAAAGAGTTGTACTTTCTTAGGAACCATGATGTTCTTTTTAGAAAAAGCCAAAAGATAGATAACTAGACATGTAACCTGGTGTTCCCTTATTTTTGACTCCTTCCTTTTCAGAAAAATATTCTACAGATTATTTAGAAAATTCTATGGAAAAACTATAGTATTATAAAATATATCTTATATTCCTGAAATAACTGATAAACATTTAGAAAACGGCCAGAGGATAGATACATATTTAAATAGGTATTTAGTGTTTCCCTATTTTTCATACTTTCCTCTTTAGAAAAATATTTTACAAATATTTTAAAATATTCTCTAGGAATCCTATGGAATTATATTATACTAATAAAAATGTATAAGCATTCTTTACTAATTTCCCCAGGTGTAATTTGCTATATTGTTCGTTGGCACAACTTATGCAAATTGCAACTCTTCGGCTTGGTCTTTGTCTTGCAAAGAAGTCGCATACCAGCGACTTGCTGGAGCTCATAGTTTCCTTCGAGTGGAACTACATAATATATATATTTATATATAGCATATATATAGGAAAATTGCATGTTTCACTGCAATGAAAACAAATCGCAAAATTACCATAATCAAAGCATAAAAGGGATTTCTGTTTTATTCTTTGTCCCCACACACAGCTTCTTTGCAGCTTCTCTCTGGCCAAGACAATAGCAACGAACCTCTTTCTTTTTTTCCTTATTTTTTTGTTCTTTCTTTTTTTGTTTTTTGTAGAAAGTTGTCGACCAAGTTTGCTCAACGAAATATTTTAAAGTAATTGGCCTCGTTTGTTGGCTGCAAGAGCAAATTGAATTTCGAAATAGATCTATTTGAGTTTGGTAATTGGTGCGGGGTCTCTCCTACGAATTGTTTTTGACAAGTTTCCTCTCGTATTTTATTGTGGTCCTTGGTGTAATTGAGACAAGGTGGTAAAAAAAAACGGTAGAGAGAAGGAGAGAAATAAAAAGTCACAGAGTATAAAAAATTAAAAATTAGAGAAGAAATTCGTGTGGAAGGTTAGTTATTGTGTGATAGAAGATTATAATAATTGAGGTATTAATGGATAGTTAGGAGTTCTAAAGGGTTTTTGGGTTTTTTATAGCCTTGATCTGAAACTAAGCTGATTTCTGTATATAATGCAGATCAAATTTATAAATGTAATCCTCTTCCACCATATGTAATAAATATTTATAGAGGATTAATTATTAAATTCATTTGCTTGCACTGTAGGTTATTAAATTTCAAGGAAAAAATGTGTTTTGATCATTAGGAAAGTATAAACTATTATAAACACTTCACAAATCGGAAATATATTTGTACAATACATATCTTATTAACACTTCCCAAGATATTGTATTTCTTTATATTTTTTTAATTTATTTACATTTTATATTTAAATATTTTTAATAGAGCCTTAAAAGCTTGGCCAATAAAAAGTGTAAAAAGGGGCGTTGCCCAACGTTGTTTGGCCAATTAAATATAAGCCAATGAGAAGTCAACCAACTAAAATCCCCCAACAGGGCGGAGTCAATAGGAATTAGCCAATCAGACCATGTGTAAGAGGGAGGAGTCTAAAGTGATTAGCCAATCGGAAGAAGGCAGTGGGTGGGGCTTAGAAAGATTAATTATTTATAAGTTATATAAATATAAAATAATACTATTATTATTATTTAATACCAATTTTGTCAGATACGGTATGAAATATTGTGTATATCCATAAAATAACGATCACTGATTAGGTAGACCATTAAAATAATTTGACCTCCTTTATTCTGTTTGTTAAATTAACAAAAATATATGTATATAAAATTTTCAATTAACTAGAAACACCATTATAATTCCATGCTTACCAACACCAAACTATTGATATTTCACACAAAACACACATTGAAATCCTTTTAAATAAACATAATCCAAAAGGTCGTCCTATACCAGAATCATTACTATATAATCAAAGCTTTTCTAAAGCTTTTACAAAATATATTATATATATTTCTCGATTGGTTGCTGAACTTGCTAAAACAGAACATCCATAAATATCTGAAATTTTACTATAAAAATAATAATAATTAAAGAAATAATACAAGTGCTTAGGTCTGCTTTGATTTTTATAATTATAAAATAAGTCTGAAAAATGTTTTAACAAAAATTAATCAAATATAGAATCAAATAAAAGTTAAAGATTCAAACAAAATCCAAGCATACCAAGTATTTTAGTGATTTTTGTTTTTCTCTGGTTTTTATTTTCTTTATAAAATTACTAAAGTACAAAAATTTGTTGCTAAAATAAATTTTTTTTACAATTTTGTTTGCTAATTTACAAAAGTCCTACGAGAAAAAAAATACATATTAAAATAGCTGGAAGACAACAATTGACACCATTGGACACTCACATAAGTACAGTACATTCTACAAAACTATGGACGAAAGATTTAGGATGTGACTACTACTAACTAGAAACACACTCAAATTAAACGAGGCTTAGGAGATGGAAAACTATAAATTAAAGTGGGAAGAGGGAAACTTGAATTTAGGGATGATAGAAATTCGTTTGGGTTCTATGGGTTTTAGCGTTCTCCTCCGTCCACGCCCACTTTGGGGAGAACCTGTCAAAGTTCCACTCATCGGGATGACCCTCATGGCCGCCAACCTCCTCCGCGGGACTCATCTGGGACCATTTGAAGGGACCGGAACCAATCCTCCTCATGGCAATGGCTCTCATATCATTGCGTACCGGTCGCCGTTCGGTGATGAGTTCCATTTCCGCCAAACTGGCTGCATCATCGATGCTCACACTGAGTCTTTCATCGCCAATGGCTGCTGTGGCTACACCATTCTCGCTCTGATCCTCCAAAGCCCGAGGCTGGACATGCTGTAGTCGCAGGAAAATGGGTCCTGCGAAGGCATGATAGTCGCTCTCACCCAGACGGGCATTATAGGAGAACAGCTTCAGATCTATGTTGCCATAGGCAATCGACTCATCGCCGCCTAGGAGATCTCCACGGAAACCATGAGTTCGCAGATACTTGTCCACTGCCTCGAGGTTTGTCAACTCGGCCTCATCCGCCTCCGAGAGCTGCTGATCCTCGCTGTAGCTCACACCACTGGCCTCCAGAACACTCTTGTGATAGGGCACTCCATTGGCCAGCCAGGATGAGTTGCCAGGAATCACTAGGAAGTTCTGGGTGACATCCTTCTTGGTCAGACTTCCCGGCAGCTGTTCGGCAATCCAGACCATGTCCTTCAACTGATCGTGGCGGTTCAGAATAGCTGTCCTATCCTTTTCGTTCACAGTGACAGCAGCATCATCATGCTTATCATCGCCTTCTCGAACATTGTACAGCTGATCCTGATCGCCCAACTTCTTCAGATCCACAGTAATCCACTGCTTGGCTCCGGTGAAAGGATGTCTAGCCATGGCATTAGCCCAAGTCTGACGACTCTGGGAAATCCGATTGGCAGCCATTACACGTGCCACCAGGGGCACCATTTTCTTCGTGTCCACCGTTTTCCACAGTTGCAGATTCTCATTCTTAATTCCCACGCCGCCTACGATGGCCTGTACATGACGTCCCTTGACCACATAGAAGTCATCGGTGGAGCCGAGTATTCCAGGATAACCCGTAAAGGTTATATCCACTCCAGGGACAGTGTTACTCCTGAGCTTTGGCGAAAAGTGATAGTGGAATTTGTAGCGCTTCTGAATCCTTAGCATGGAGGAATAGCTGCCAGCAGTGCTGTGACCAAAGAGTAGCTGAAGTTTCTGGGGTTCCTGCTCCTGCTGGACGATCCTCGTCAGCATGGTGGCGCTGGGCAAAAAGAAGTTCTTTGGCTGATCAGTGGACGAATCCTCGCCACTTGCTGTACCATTGGGCAGCACATAGTTCTCGTAGTAGATCTTCAAATCCTGAATATCGGCAGCGGCATTCATCAGCAGGAAATCGGAGAAGGGTATCTCACCCTCCAATTCAGAGCGAGCTCGAATTGCTCCACGAATGTAGCCTTTCTCCAGGCCCTCCAACTGGTTGACAAACAAGTGCAACTGATGCCAGTAATGATCATTTTCACCCTTCGCTGTCTGTGTCTTTAAACGTTCAAAGTTGGCGGTTAAGAGCTCCCTCAGCCAACCGCAGAATTTACGGGAACTATCATCACGATCACAGGATGTGGCAATGGTACTGAAAAGTAATAAATTATATTAATTTCTTGTTTGATTAAGTTAGGAGAGGTTATCCTTACTTAACCCACTGATTGTAGATATTCCTCCAGGTCAGCGAACCCTCTAGCATGCCAGCGGCATAAGCCTGCACCCAATCATCATAACTTCTTTGGGTTTCCACCTCAATTTGAGCCCATCTGTTGAAATGGATAAAGAGTTATTAATGAGATACTTCATTTATATTACCAGCATCACATCTTACCCATTCTCATAGACCGAATCCTTGTAGCAAATCCTAGCCACACCTTGGGGTATATTAACCAAATCATTCTGCTGCTTCCAGTTCTCAATGGTGAATCCCACCTGCTTTGTCCACAAGGCGGTGGCACAATAAGTGCCATCATATGTCGGCCTCTCCATATAGCCAATAAAGAAGGCTCCAATGACCAAAAGACCGGCTCCGATAAGGATGTAGGTCCCTATCCGCGTTTTTTGCCACGATGCACCAACGACTTTCAACATTGTGCCGGCCGTCTTGAAGCTGCAGTGCAATTAAGAGACGAAAGATGTTTCCAGCAATGATCACAGGATCACAGATCTATATACCAAATTTCAGTATTTTTCAATTTCTATCCCAAATAATTATGATCGGCACGAGCTGCGTAGGAGTGGCCAAGACGGTGGGCAATTAGGTGGCCAGTGTGCAGGTGGTTCTGTGGTTGGGTGCAGGTGCAGGAGCTGAAGTTCCTGCTGATCTTGGTGGCCACGCTGTCTAGCGTTTTGGCCAAGTGGTTCATGGGTGGTGGACTGCTTTCAAGCAGAGATTTCAACGGTTTCCAGGTGGTTAAGTTTACGTTAACTGATGCTTCTTAAAGGTTCTCGATTCTCGGTGGGTTTATGGAGTGGTGGTGTTGGTTGCTCTTTCGTTTTGGCTATGTCTTTTGAGGTTCAAGTTGTATCCCTGATAATTAACGAAAAACCCATAAACCGGACATTAGAAAACACACAAAACACATACACATATCAAGGGAAAGGGAATATTTACTAATACAAAATACATAAATATTTACACATCACCATATCCCCCAATCTCTGATCAATAACTAACCATAATAAACAATAATCAATAATACTACATATACTTATTGAATATATAATAACCTCTTGAAGAGCTGTCCTTGAACCATTTCCTTTATTTACAAACTTTCCCCCAAAGAACCAAACCTCAAAGCCAAATGTTTATTTCACACTTTCGCTATTTCTTTTGGCAAAAGAAATTCGAATTCTCTCTCTCTCCCCATCGAAGTAAACAAATTTAAGCATTTGTAAAACTAATAAATTAATTTTATAGCTCGAATGGTACTTGAGTGCCTGAATTACTTTATGGCCAAACAGCAGCTGGCGAAATTGGTTAGATTGTGCCAAAAAAGATAAGCAGAACACCTGTCCCGCTGATCCCACCACATAAAAGTATCTCTTTGGAATGCTATGGTTAGCAAACCATTTCAAATGGAAAAGTTTCGCATTAGTTTATTTAGCTTTCCTTGCAGCTTGTCTTTTAGTAAATTAATAACATCATTATATGATTACAAAAACCCAAATAATAAAATTCTATAAAGAGAAGAATTTCAAAGCCAATGCCAATCGAAAATCTTTCACAATGCCCCCAATGTAATTCGAAAATTCCATTTCGATTTCCAAATTAAACCTGTGTGTGCGTTGGTAAACAATATAATTGTGTACATTTGGCACGTGTGGAGAACACGAAATCGTATCGAAATCGTATCGAAATCGTATCGAAATCGTATCGAAATTGTATTAAACGCAATTATTTTCGCTTAGCAAAATTTTCAAACCAAAATTCGGAATGGTTCTAAACATCAATCAATTAACAGGCTTATACAATTAAACATTTATATATCGATGTGTATATCCTAGATTGTTTTCTCTTCTGCAGGTTAAATGTATCTTATAATTCCCTGAGCGACTTTAATTGATAGGTGGCATGTATATAAATTGTTTAAACAAATGTAAATCATTTTAACAGAACATAAACAAAACTAGTATTCAAACTTACCTTTTTGTTTCCCGGGTCCAGGAAGCTGCAATGTCACAAGTCAACCCATTTGAAGAACTGCAATAGAAATAAAATAATTAAATTAGTTTAAGATCATCTCTTGGTTGATTTTTTATGACTATCAAGGCGCCGCTAACTCAAATAAAAAAGCATACACTTGGTCAATGCCTTATTTAATATAGCTTCGTTGTTTATTTTCACAATTTGATGGCAAGTCTCGTGATTTGTCTGATTTTTGCCGCCAGAAGAGACTCTGGTGGGTCTTTGTTTACTTTTGGATATCAATTGAACAAAAGCTGAGCCAGGCGCACGCGCTGTGGAATTGTTTGTGATTATTTGTCATAAAATGTTGATCATGCCAGTCATTGGACATTCAAATGAAATATGATCGCGCTAATTGATGGACGGGGAACACTTTGAAATTGAATTGTTAGAACGCAAGAGGGAATTCACCCCGGTTTCCCAATAAATCCATCATTAAATTACTGTTCAATAGAGTGACTTAAGTGGGATTAGTACACCAAAAAAGTGTCATTAAGCTATATAAGAAATAAGTGATCATAAAGCTCAATTGATATGTATTAATTAAGGAATTTTAATGACGACAAACCTATAAATATTTCTAAAATTCTTACTTAACTAAAGTGTGAGTTTTGTTTTAAGTACTATATTTTAGATAAAACATTTTTTACCATATTGTGACGGCATGATAACCTGGAAAATATAATTACAGCCGGAACAGGCACTTAACTGCAAATGTAAATTACTTTTCCCAAACAAAAAAGCTTTAAGTAAAGTAATGCCTGTTTAGCTTGCTGACTAATCAGAGGCTGTGATGCTATAATCAAGGTCCTAAAGTAAACAAATTTATATTGCAAAAAAACAAAAGTAACAGTGAAAACATTCTTTCATTTCACTCATTTCCATTTCAATTCGTTGTGAAAATAAACAGACATCAAGCAAAAGTGAAAAGAGTCAGCGCCTCAACACATCCATCACGGGTTAACAATGAAATAAGTTTATATTTTTAAACATATTAAAGGTAATCCATAACAAAACTTAATTGACTTGCCCTCAGGGAAGGCCATTAATATATAAGCTTCTATATATATAATCTATTGAAATCTAGCTTCAAACTTAATATTGACGTCAGGAATTAACGCCAAGTTGGGAAAGCTTAAAACAAACGTGGGATTTTAAATAGCAAATAGAAGCATAAAATCCCAGGTAAAAGTTGCGACTGACGTCTTTGCAGTTCACTTAAGTCACTTAGCTCGATTAACGCCATTATCATTATAGCAGAACAAACACAGTTGTTTTGTTTTTAGATACAATTGTATCCACATAAACCTGCCTCAGTTCTGGGCTACTGAGCCAGATAGTGACAGTGTTTCCATAGCCCTGATAAAATTATCAAATGTTTTTATAACCGCCTTTTGTCACTTGATCAATCAAAACTTAGCCTGGCGGTAAATAATTTACACAGTCCAAACCCAAATCGGGCTCAGCAAATTTTGTGTCACCAAGTGAACAAAATATTGATAAGATTGCCAGTGTATATTTATTAGCTAAATATTTAGATATGCATGTCTAGCATTTTGGCATATTAAGAACATAAGTTCAATCAGCAGACTTCCATAAAGTTCAGACCGATAAGATAAATCACTGACAAAAACTACGTAGGCTGTTATTAAGAGTGGAAAATTCTTTTTTTGAACATATTAAATAACTTTTCCATACTAAATCAAGATATGTTATGGTTATAACACTTTTTTACACTTTTGCAATACATAAAAACCCACATTCATTTGCATATTTATAAAGTAAACACTTTCTTACCCAAAAACAGAATAGGTCCTATATAATATCTGAAAGATTTTCTCTTAACCAATTAGCCTATGCCTAGGAATATTTTACCATTTGATCTATGGAAAATTCACTTGCCTTTATGATTAAAGTTAATTTTCCGCTGGTAATGGAAACTTTTGATGGCTGGCCATAAATTCAATTGCTCTCATTCATTCAAAATATACAAAATAAGTAAACACTTGATAGGAAACCCACAAAATACTTGCTTCTCTTTGCAATATGAAATACCACAACAAATTCATAATCTTTCCAGGAAAACCAAGCGCCACATGTGGCATTCGCAAGAAGAACGGAGGCAGCTTTATCTCTCCTCGTGCCACGTGAGTAAATGTTGCTAATAAGTTTTTTTTTTTCTTAATTTTATTTAATTCACTCCCCTCTATAGAACATGTGGGAAATCGCTGAATGAATGCCTGCGAATCGTCTACGTTGCATATTAATTTCGGATGAGCTCCACATGGCATTTTGATTGAGGTAAAGCAAAAAACTGCTAACTGGGCCGATGCCACGCGTCGCTATCGAGCTGCCAACGCCGCCACCGATTTTGATAAGGCCAAAAGTCCCCGAGTTCCCAGTCTGGAGTGAGGGCCATGTAAACCGATCTCCCCAGCAACAAAGTTGGAAGTCAGCTAAGCAAATGCAAACGTTTTGTAAAAATGCACAGACAAACGCCGCACTGCGGAAATTAAACACTGAGAGGATTTATATAAACTTTTAGGTATGCAATTTTAATTTAATTTGAAAATTAAAATCTAAATACTAATTTAATATGTTTAAAAATATAAATTAATTGTATACTTTTTCTGGGTTTAAAATCAAAGGCAATGCAAATTTCTATAGCCTACTTTTCAACGCAATTGCAAAGCTATTTTAAATCTTTATAAATTTGGTATTATATAGGAGTGCTATAAACACTCTAAGTATTATTAAAACCATTACAAAGAAACCAAGAAAAGAAATTAATATTATACATATTTTAAAAATAATTTACACACAGTTTGGCAACTGAAAATTTGAATGGCAAACTATTTGATACCCATCTATGTTAAAGGGCTTAAGACTACTTTACTTAAATTTTTTTTTTTTAATTCATCAATAAATTAGGTCATTTGTTATATGAAATAAACAATACGAAAGTATAGAAAAAATACACTATAATATTCCATTAAAGTTTAACTAAAAACTTACTAAACTTGATATATATTTATTTTCTTTATAAACTGCTTGATAAAATAATATTTACTTATGCCTTTTTTCGAGCTAAATGTTCTGGAAACTATTTTCCCACAGTGCTGATACTGTATCTTTTTTTTGTGGGGATTGCACTTTTTGAGATTGGAGTCCAAATCCAGTGTTTAGACTACTGACAGACAGACAGACATAAAAAAACACGAGCGCCGCGACGCGACGTCTGCGACTTGGGGATCCAGGAAACCGGAGATCGAGGGACTGGAGACTTGGACAGAATTTCTATGACCAGCGCGTGGATGGGACAGGTTACCCAATACCAGGACAGAGATAAAAAGCGTGATGTATAAGTTAAAGGAACGCCATTAGATACCCAATGAACTCATCTCAGCTAATCGCAACCTACAACACGCTCCAATCGAATGATAATCGAGATTTTAACGACTCAACCAGCTGATCCACAACTGAGCTGTAAATGATTCGACAAGTCTGCTGATTTAATTAGATTATAAATGCATACATATATTTGATTAGTTAGGGGCTCGTGCGGGAAATTCTTAATTAGTATATGCTAATAGACAGTGAATGGAATCGCAATAAAATATATAGTCTTAATAAATTGTGATCGCTTTGGAGTTCAGAATTCGTGTGAATATAATCATTGGGAATGTTCAAAGCAGTGGGCCATTGTGTGTGGGGGATTTTATTTTCTGTTTACGTTCCCAGGGGAAATGTTTTATCGGACGTAATGATATAATCAAATGATATAAGTCCCTGTGAAAGTCAACCTTTTCGAAGGTGTTTTTTATTTTACGTAATATGAAAACATTTTGATCAATTTATAATCAAAGTTATTTTGATGTTTAATAACTCATAACTGACTTTGTTTCTTGTAGTTCCATCTTTAACTTTTTTCTTAGCAACACTTTAATTTCTCTCAAAGTGTTCATTAAAGTTCAAACAACCTTATATTTTATATTATAATTCTTAAGAGCTCTCACTTATCAAATTTTAAATTCGGTTAACCGGTTTTATTTGGGGAAATCAAAGCAGTTAAGTTCGTTTACCTCGATTTTTTTCGATAAGTCACTCACCGAAATCTATTATGCCTTCGAATTAACTGCAATTATCTGGAAATTCGTTGGGATTGCGACTTAATTTGTATTAAAATTGTTTGTATGCCCCATAAACCGGAAAAATCTACACTGAATAAGTATCTTGAAGATACAGCGGAATCTCCTTTACGTCAATCTCTTAGCCCGATCGCTTAATATCGTCCGAATGCCTTGACTGTGCCACCGAAACTGGCGATGGTGCTTTTTCAACTTTCGGCTTTTCATCTCTCTTTGCGACTCGGGTTTTTCTAGACACTCGGCGAAGGCGGGAAAAATCGTGCAAATTTTCATACCTGCTAGCCGAAAAAAAAACAATCACGGGTATATGGTATTTTAAATAAAATTAAGAAAAGGAAAATTATAGAACCTATGTGTAAAGTTGATGAATTCATCTTGAACATGCTAAGTACAGGAAATTTTTAAAATGTCATTGGAGTGATAAATGCAAAGATTGTCATCTAGATAATATAAATATACAGTGTAATATATATTTCTGGTTATAAAATCATCTAAAAGTAACATCATAAAGCAACCAGAGAATCTGTTGTATTTTCTCGGTGGTTTCATTGGCCAATATATTGATCTCTTATACATATGTATATGATAATGTTTAGGAATTCCCTGAATTTATTGGAAATAAAACGAAATATTTTCAACTTATGAGAGAATATAAAAAAAGAGTATTACAATTTAAAGAACTGGGTATTTTATAGTTGGGAAAAACCCAACATTCTCTTTGGTTTTGGCTATGCTTCGGTCAAAAGTTCTATTGAACTTGGCCGCCATTAAAGAGGAAGGCGAATACCATTCAGTTGGCTGATCGGTGGGTTTCTCTTCACATTGACAGGTGGTATCTGGGGGTGTCATGTGGCTCGAGGAACGTGAGGTCTTGGGGTTAACTTGGCTTGGTTCTTGGTCAGATTTATTTATGGCCTTTATGACTGATTTATCTGCGCATTATGCACTTGTCCATGCAAATTGCCAACTGACAGGCAATCGAGTTTCCGCTTGGCTACAGTTTTACAATTGAAATTGACATTTAATTGAGCGGTTATTCAGTGCGCAGTTGAAAATGGTTTTCCCATGAAAATTGTGTGCCACTCATTCAGTTTCCTCTCTCTATTTCTCGAACTGTCTGTCTGTCTGTTTGTCTGTGTGCATTTCACTTTCTTTGCTCAACAAAAAATGATAAGAGTACTATTTTTTTGGGGTCAATCAAAAATGCTTGGGGATTGCTCTCAATTAAAATGAATTGAAATGGCGACAAGTTTGCGTGATCATGTGGCAAACAGACATATTTATATAACTAAAGGAGATAAATCGAATGGCGGGGGATAACCTTGATTAATCCCTCTTTGTCTCTTGTCTGAGAAATTTTATTGACAATTGTCGGTCAATATCAAAAGTGTCAGAAACAAAAAAAAATTATAGAGGGCCTGAACAGACTTCTAATGTGTGTTCATTTTTAAATCCATTTCGATTCATCTTCATCCTTTCCTGTTCTTCTTCTTGTGTCTGTCTGGAAGGGCAACATTCCATGATAAACTTATGTATGTACAGTGAAACTTGTATATAAATTAAATTTTGTTTTATATAAATTAAATTTAATTTAATTATATTAAAGTTGAATTGTAGATTTATTCGTTATATGTAATACAAATTAAATAATTACAGACAGGAAGACATAATTTCAACAGGATAAAAAGGTATGATATATATTTTAACTTAAGCTTAAATTTCATTTCCATTTTTTAAATTGTATAACTAATATCCAAAAGTATTTAAGTAAAATATATAAACCATATTTTAAACGTAGATATTTTGTTCTAGCTCTCTTACTATAATACAAGTTCACCTTAAGGGAGTCTCGCCTGTCTACCAAGCCAGGAAGGACAAGAACCTCAAGGATTTTGACCTCATTTGTCTGGGGAAACTGTGAGAGAATATGAGAATGCTGCGGGATAGGGAGGCCTGGCGTCGCCTGGCAACTTCTCGGAAAGACCTGCCCTCTTGCCTTAATAGTTTTTATTTTTATTGCTCTTTATTTGTTTTTTCAAGACGCAGAGACTGCTGGAGAACATCCCATTGAAATGCGCCGCGCATGCTCCATGGAGGCGAGGCATAAACTTGTTGCTAGGCAGCAAAATCAACCGTCCCCCGATCGTTTTTTTTTAGAGGTAATTCAAGAAGTTTTTGTCTCGGTTTTCGTCTTTTTTCATCTTCTGGAGGTTGTATACTAGGCCATTGGCTTTTGAGGTTGAACTCTTACTTTTGTTTAAGCAAAAAACATAATTGTCTGCAAGGTTTTCATTTTGTTCGAGGTTTACTTTTCAATGAACTTATTTTTGAACTTTTGGCACAGTCCGAACTGCTCAGGGGTAAGGCTGGAACTAAACTGGCACCAATTTTTATTTATTTTGGAGTCCCCACATCACAGAATCTTATGCAAAAAAGAAAAAAGAGTGTTATCTTGTGAAGATAAGGGATTTTTCAGCGGAAAAGACACTAAAACGGTCGGACAATCTACGTAAATACGTCAAGTACGATGTATTTTTGGACGCCCTATGTCTTAATTGTTATTATATTATATGACATGTTTATTTGGCAAGCTTCCACTACGAGTTTGGTAAATATATCGCGTGGAGAAGTCACTGTTTACCAGGTCTTCACCCATGTCAACGATCTGCTCAACACTCATGTGATCTTCATGGAATATGTGGATATCGTTACTTAACGAAAGATGACTCAACTTTTTGGTTGGAAGTCTAGCCAATAACTGATATTGGAATTGTGGGAACTCTGTAATCAATGGCGCCAAAGATATGGCATTTGCTAAAAATAAGCAGAACCATAGGACTTCCCCTAGAAACTTAGATAAGAGCTTGATGACCTCATCGCACTTTCAATTTATTCCGTAAATTATATATATTATATATTTATTTCAGAGAAATCATTCACACATTGTCAAGACTTTAGAAAATATGTGGAATATATGCAAATATTTATAAAGAATTTTAATGGGAAGTTTGGTTTTATTTTTTACTTGTTAATCATAAAAAGTATTTAAAAACAACCAATTAAGAAATAACTAACAAATACTTCAGAATATATTTAGAATATAAAAGTATATTCTTTAGCAATTTTTAATAAGAAATTTTTTATAAAATATTTATGTTGTTTTATGTTTGTGAAATATATTTAAGAAAATGCTTTTTAGAATTTGAAAGTTTTTAAATATATTTTCCAATTAAAAACAAACACAAAAAGTAGGCCGCATACTTTGAATTTTGAATTTTTAATGATGCTATTCATTTTAATTTTAGAACACATTTAATTTTGGAAAAAATCGAAAATAAAAAGAACATTTACTATATGGTAAAAAATTGTGTCATTGTCTATACAAAGGATCATCTATGGTGGTGGAACAAAAGTCACTCAAAGGACAACCACCCTTATTATACTATATACTACTCCGACTCATTTTCCGATCGTCTGATCCACAGATAATCCACACTCGTTTCCCCGCTGAGCGATGGAAAAATTTAACGGAGACAATCGCAATATACAATGTTGACCCTATTTTTGTCAGTAAACAGATATTGCGCGTCGCGTTCCTGATTTTTGCTATAGCGTTACGCGAGGTCAATAATGATACAATTAGCACTTGGCACCTGAGAGTTCAGTAATCTTCTCAACCGACTCAAATTCGGATTCGGATTCAGATTCCGATTCCGATTCCGATTCCGATTCGGTTTCGGATCGAGAGCGAGGACAACTTACCGGAAAATTGAAATGTCTGGTGACTCAGGCAAAATGAGTGAAATTCCCAAAGGTGTTGATTAAATGGGTAGCACTATGGATTGGATTGCTGCTAAAATCAGCCACTGCTATATATTTTTTGGTTTAACACGATATTGCTATATAGTCACACAACGATCTCGTGTTAATTATCCATGAAGGGCTACATTGGAAACGCACTGTATATGGTTTGGATATAACTTTTCCCGATTAACGATCCCTTTGCGAATGGGATTTATTACTAACGGTTTTGGTAACTAATTCGATTTGTTTTATTCGCTTGAGTCACTTCAAATCATTTGAAAGGTTGAGAAAGAACACTGTTGCTATGCGGCTAGTTTAAAATATCAGCGACAAGTAACTAATTATACGGCGTGGTGGCGTATATGTAATGTGCCTGTGCCGCTTGAGCGTTTTAGTGGGGAGAGTTTTATAGGACGCGAGAACGTGGCGTTTCTTTATTTATTTATTTTTTTTTATTTTATATATTCGTTGATATTTACACTGAGAGCCTATACTCTTTAATTGTTCTTGCAGGCAGTACTTATTTTTAGCGTCGGCAATTGCACATCGAAGTGAAATTGAAAAGATAACACGAAAAACACAGATCACACGGAACGAGCATATATAACGACTTCCGATTCAGCGATTTTCAGCAGAGAGACTGAAGCCGAAGAGTTTTACGATCATATCGCTGGGTCTTCGCCGACAGAGAGAGAGAGGGAGTGTATAGGTTATCAACTCTCGGTCTGTCCGCGGAAAGTACGAGAGCAAAGGCTCAAGTACACTAGCCTACATGATTCATACTTATGGGTAATAAGATTTTATGATTTATTGCTATAAGATATATCATTATATATCTAAAAATAAAAACATGCATTTTAATACAGAAAGATTTTATATACTTTTATTAGGTGAATTAATGTGTATACTCAAGGGTGTAATAATTTAGTATATATAAAATTAAATATGCAATGACACATAACTAATAAAAAACATAACAAAAAATTAAAATTGGTAATGAATTATGAAATTTAATCACTCCCTCTCCCTTTCTATACATATAATAAAATGTATTTATTCTACACTAACCTCAACTGCGTAGCTCAGTGTATTGTGCTCCCTCACTTCCACTCATTTAGCTGCCATGGAGTGAATATCTCATAGAGTAATTAAGTATGCTCTCACCTTGCCACTCTCTCACTCTCTCTCTCTCTCACTCTCCCTCTATCACTCATTTTATTGATCTTCAATCTGGCACCCTCTCTTCCTCTCACCTTGCCAATTGATTTCTTGAGCATGCTATGTAAATTAACAAAATCGTGACGTATTGCAACGATTCCGCTATCATTACCTTTTTTTCTGAGTGGAGCTCCGCCCCTTAAATTGAGCAAACAAAACGTGCCGGAGATAACAGCAAGTGATAAAGAGGAAATGCTTTCGGCCTGATTAATTACGGTACCCGAAAATGCGACAAGCGTAGAAATTCGCCACAAAGCCATGGATAAATAATAGAAATAGGTACAGTTGTTTTCCTTATCGCTTGACTTACCTGAGCAAACTCTGGCATCCGCTGCAGGTGGAGTGAGTAATCCGTTACCGAAATAACACACCTGGGCGGAAGAAATTCAAGCGAAACAAATGGCTTGGCAGTTGAGCGAAATGAAAATGAAAGGGAAATAAAGATCCTTTAATTTATTGAACTTATTATTTATTGTTTTATTCTATATATTAATAAACTGTGCCTTTTTGCATTTATTTTAATTCTTATTCATTAAACTAACCCAGTTTCCAAATTCTTTACCAAACACAACTTCTGGTTGAGAACCTTTTTGTGCCTTGTCTGTTATTAGAACTTGGACGGCGGTTTGTCAGCTGGTTCCATAGTGTAGCGGTTATCACGTCTGCTTTACACGCAGAAGGTCTCCGGTTCGATCCCGGATGGAACCAGGAGGAAAATAACTTTTTTTATATTATTTTTGTTATTATCCAAATAATATTTTTTTAATTTAATTTACTCAAATTTAGTTGTATTATTGAAGTTTTTATTGGTATTTACTCTATAGTCCCACTACACTAAAACATATATTTTGTTATTCTTCCCACAAGAATTTCAAACAATTTTCCAATTATATTAAATTTGTAAAGTTTAAGCTTTGTAAATCTAAAATAAAGTTAATTTGTTAACAGAAGTAAACCAAATACTATAAGTGTAACTGTAGTTTATTATAAATATCTTAATGGAAAACAACTCAAAACTTATGTCTTACTTGCGAGTATTTAAAAAATAAATTCATATTATAATATAAAAAAAATATATATTAAAATAAGATTACAACTTCTGGTTCCATCCGGGATCGAACCGGAGACCTTCTGCGTGTAAAGCAGACGTGATAACCGCTACACTATGGAACCAGCTGCCTGTTGGTCGTCCCAATTTCAGTTTTCTCCATCAAGGCAATGCAAATTTATAGCACACTTTTCAGCTGTTGGAAAATTATACTTCCATATTTTAAAATTAAAATATAAGTTAAGAACAATTCATATTTAAATTTAAACTTTGCAAAAACACCCTTGAATTAGAAACCATGTATTTTATATCTGTGAGTATCATAAATATTTTTATTTAAAAGCCAAAAGCACATCAATAATACGTCTTATGCATGTTTTGTGCCTATGTATATTCGAGTAAAATCTGATTGCTACTTAGTTGCAAGCATTTATAAAATAAGTATAAATTAAGCATTAAAATTACAAACACAGTTGTAAATGTATTATTGCACCGTTGTTCAACCTAAATAGTATTATGCACTAAACAATAAATCAACAAAAACTATGGGGCTAATAACGAAAAATCACTGAGCAAAATACATAAACTGAGGGTGTAGAAAACCAGGATTAGCAGGAAAAGAAACCAAAACTGGGCGCGCATGCCGCAAAGGATTTGCAGCTGGACTAGCAAATGATTTCGTTTAAAAAACTCGCTTCAGTAGCGCCTGGCTGTCGTGGGTCTGGGCACACCCGAAGTCCTTGGCCTGGCGGACTTGGAGCGCATGGGATTGGACACGCCGTCGGTGTTGTAGCTGAGGTAAACATGCGATAGATCCACAAAATCCGGCTCCTTTCCGCTTGTCTTGTGTGCGGAGATGTGCTTGCGCATGTTGTTACCCGTGTAGGCCACACACTTCAGTTGCCACTCGCCAATGTCCTCGTTCCAATGTGTATACTGATTGATCATGGACTGGTACTCCTTGGGTACATAGGAGTTTAATACAAGTTCACAGAGTGCCAGCTCCCTGGAAAGGCTTCGTATGTTCTCGTAGATTCCCTCCTTTTCACGCTGATGCTCCTGCTGCTGATCAGCCAGCTCGGACTTAACGCCCATCAGCATTTGCATCACGCGGTGGATCTTCTTGGTGATGCCAGTACTGGCATCCTGGAGCGTGGAATACCGCTCTTCAATGTCAATCCTTTCGGTGGCCTTTTGCTGTAGGGTTTGCTTCAGGGCCTCCTCGGATTTTTCACGTTCTTCCAACTCTGCAATGGACTGCTCTAGGAGTTTCTCCTGCGTCTGGGCCTTCTCCAGCAGATTCTCACCGCCAACAAGGATTTTCCCTTCGAGGGAGACTAGTTTATTACGCAGCGTTTCCTGCTCTGTCTTGGCATGCTCTATTTCTCGCTGATGTTCGCTTTTACGCAGTGCCAATTCCTCCTTCTCCTCATCGGTCTTTTCGCGCTTCTTCTTGGGCTTCTTCTCCGCCACCTGGACAGTTGATGACTCCATTTCGATCTCCAGAGGTGCCTCCAGTTCATCGTCAGCGGTGTCCTCCTCCTCTTCGGAGCTTGGTGGCTCCTCCTCGAAACTGCTGCCCTCTTCCAGTTGCTTTCGAAGTCGCGCAATCTCCTCCTGAAAGTGACGAAGCAAAGCATCCTTGGGTTCCTCATTAATGTGCATACGATTCTGGATGTTCTTGGCGCGACTAGCATAGCGTAGAGTCGATATAGTCTCCATGTAGTTGCTATCCGCTGGACTAATGGTGGCACACATCACGGTTTTAGAGTTACCTCCCAGGGAATCCTGTAGAAGTCGCGTTAGCTTAGAGTTTCTGTAAGGAATGTGAGTACTCTTGCCATCAACCAGAGCACTTATGACATTTCCCAGCACCGATAGGGACAGATTGATTTTGGTGGCTTCCTTAAGACGCTGACCACTGGCCTGGGTCTTGGACTGTCTCTCCGATCCGGCTAGATCCACCAGCTGGAGCTTACCCATCCGCACGTGCTGGACACCACCTTCGCCCAGTTCACTCCGCTCCACGGTGATCGAGAAGATGGCATGGGATCTGGAGCTCTCCTGATTCATCTTGGTGGCGCCCACAGCTCGGTTCTTATTGCCCAATCGCATTATATTCTCCAGATCATCGGCATTATGCACCACATAACCGCTGAGATCCTTGACAAAGACACCAATGTCTGGCCGCTCCTTGACCTCCAGGCTCTTGCCCACATCCTTGCCCAGCAGGTCACGCACCTCTTCGTTGTATATCTCCATATAGCTGACGCGCACCAGGAACTTTTGATTCTCCTTGGCCTTGGCAATGTGCCCGAAAATATGGGCAAAGGCATTGGGTATTATGCCCTTTGTCTGAGGCGAATCCGGATTGCCGGACATGGTGTAGGTCTTGCCGGTACCGGTTTGCCCATAGGCCAGAATGGTGCCATTGTAGCCCTCGAGAACCTTGTCCACAATGGGGCGAGCCGTGTCCACATACAGATCCAATTGATTGGAGCCGCCATCGAAGACGTTGTCAAAGTAGTACGTCTTCGGTGGTTCGTTAGCCGTGGCATTCGGCTTCATCACCGTAATGGCCCGATTGATTTTATCCACGGAAATGGCACTTAGGGCTCCTGCGGACAGCTCATTTTTGTCCATTGGCCGTGTTCGCACCACCACACGCACATTTTCGATTTCATCATCGAGCTGCTGGCCCGTTGCGTTCCCTGGATTTCCTTCCTCTTCCTGCGGCGGCATTTTGATGTATCCTGCGGTCGTCTTCGGTTAATTCCTCTTGCGGTCAATGCAACTAACTAGTTTTTCCGCTGACCGCAGTTAGTGGAAATCGATAGCTGCTAATTTTCCTCGCATTTGTTTATGCGTTGCTAGGTTTTTTTTGTGTTTTTTTTTTTTGCGAGTGATTAAGCGATGGCTAATCAGCTGTTATCGATAAGTGCGAAAATCGGACAAAGAGGGCTGCCAGATCAGCTGTAATACTAACTAGAAAATTTTAAATAATACTAAACTTGTTTTGGGAGCAGCTGATAAGAATAATTTGTCTTATTAGAGCTTAGTTTTGAAATATTTATTGATAAAAGGTTTATAGTTAGCTTTATTTCTGGCTTTTACTCTTTATTTCTCTCTTCTTGACAGAGGCTGTTTAATTTTATATGTTGCTCTGCTGTGCGAGGTTTTCTCTGCTTTCCCTTGCATTGTCTCCCAGTGTCTTTAACTCTGATTATTAATATTACTTCTCTCTATCTCTCTCTTTTTTAAACGGGGTTTTCTCTCTTTGACTTTCTCTTTATTTCCATCTATGAATATCTCTTTAAGCTTTATTATGCAGCAAAAAAAAAAATGATGACCTCATGCTTCTTCCAAGCTGTCTTACATCTTTTTACTATTATGTTTTTATACATAATATATAATATGAAAATAATATATCATTAAAATATAGCAACTTTATGTTTTACTTTCCAAATCCCAACTCATATTTCCCACTACCAGTATAAGAAAGTTACCCGATTTTGACGAATCCCATACAACTTTCTAGTATTTTTATGTATTCATTGAGCCCCGAACATGTTAGCCACATACTGAGTTGTGCCTGGTTGTAGAACACATTTACATGAAAACATTACTCAAATTTTCATGGCATATTCTCAAAAACATTTAATTTTCATTTAATTGTTATAACCACGTAACGTATTTTAGTATATCTTTCTTATGTATATTTTGAACGCCAGCTCGGTCACACTGGCGGCTTGATAGCGAGAAAGAGGAAGAGAGAAGTCTGTGGAATTAAGAGATTCTATTGGCAATTCGCTGTCCGAAAGTTTAATTAATAACGACCGCCGACGCAGAAACCAAAACTCCGGCATGGCAGCCACATTGCGAAGATTCCACGGCTTGAGATTGCTGAAGTCGAGCCCAGCCCTCAACCTGCAGCAGGTAAAGATCCGGGACGGAAACCCCAGAGAGAGGGCCCAAATTTTTCACGGTCGTGTCGAATTGGGAAAAAACACCATTTAAAAAACACTTGAATTGGATAATTTACCAGTGTAATGTTTTGAATCGAGCCTCGGAGCAACCTTTATCTGTGATCCGTAATCTAAATAGGTAGCCACTGCACCGATTCGATGCCAACCCCACAATTATGTAACTCCGTGCAAAAAATCGTACTCTACTGTTTGGCCAAGACTGCTGACTATATATCATTTTTTCTCCTTGCAGGCGAAGAACGTTTCATCCGCCGGCAGCTGGGCAAGCGGCAACAAGAAGGTGAGTTTGCGAGTCAGGAATCTGAGATTCCCAACTTGGCATTTCATAATACCCGAACGGACCTAACCTCAAAACGCGTTTGCTTCTCTCCTCTCCGTTGCTGTCGGTGTGCGTGTGTGCGTTGTGTGTGTGCGTGCGGTAAACAGCTGATCGGAGCCGTGGGAGCGATTACCGGCGGCGTTGGAGCCCTTCTCTTCGCCCTGGAGCAGTCCGTGCAAGCGTCCGGCGGCGAGGTGCACTCCCCAGCCCAGGCCTGGAATCACAAGGGTCTGCTGTCCGCCCTGGATCACCAGAGGTAAGAAAATATAAACCTGGTTTATTAATTATGTATGAAGTGAAATATAACAAAAATATCCTTTTTTTCAGCGTCCGTCGAGGCTACGAGGTGTACAAGCAGGTCTGCTCCGCCTGCCACTCAATGCAATACATTGCCTACCGCAATCTGGTTGGTGTGAGCCACACCGAAGCCGAGGCCAAGGCTGAAGCTGAGCAGATCACGGCAAGTCCTTTACAGTATTCACTCTTTGATTAAAGATATCTAATTAGTTTATGCATTCTCGTACAGGTCAAGGACGGTCCAGATGATACTGGCAACTATTTCGATCGCCCTGGCAAGCTGTCGGATTACTTCCCGTCGCCTTATCCCAACGAGGAGGCGGCTCGTGCTGCCAACAACGGTGCCTATCCTCCGGATTTGAGCTACATCGTTTCGGCCCGCAAGGGCGGAGAGGATTACATCTTCTCGCTGCTCACTGGCTACCACGATGCCCCTGCCGGTGTGGTTCTTCGTGACGGCCAGTACTTTAACCCGTACTTCCCGGGTGGTGCCATTTCCATGGCCCAGGTGCTGTACAACGAGGTGAGTTGGGGAATAATAGATTAACAAGTTTGAATAAAACTAAAGTAATTGAATGCCGTTGCAGGTTATCGAGTATGAGGACGGTACTGCGCCGACTCAGAGCCAACTGGCCAAGGATGTGGCCACTTTCCTTAAGTGGACCTCCGAGCCAGAGCACGACGAACGCAAGCAACTGCTGATCAAGGTGATCGGAATCCTCGGCTTCCTAACTGTCATCTCGTATTACATTAAGCGACACAAGTGGTCATCGCTCAAGTCGCGAAAGATCGTGTTCGTGCCCAAGGATAAGAAGTAGATTGTTTGATTTTGATTTTCGATGGTGTGAAGAATTGCAGTGTTATCGCGGCTTTACCGACTAATAAAGATAAATCAATTTTAAGCAAAACCAAACAACACACAAAACCAGCCACCAAGTCAATGTTCTCTCTCAAAGAAATGAAACCAAACAATGCGATTTGCGAGAGCCAACAAATACGATCTAAATAAAACTAGCTAAAACAATAAAAACCACTTGAGATGTCAAAGCGGAGAATCACAGCGGGGATTTAAAGCTAAAGAAACTATGAGAGTCTAGCTAAATGTAACGAGGATGGATAATATAACATTGATTGTGTATAACATCTATAATTCAAATTATGTATTTAAAGAAAATAAACAATTGACAAACGGAAATGATTTCCAAGAGATCATATCAGAGAATATCTTACAAATTGGGTTTTAAAATTCAAAGATAAAAATATTTAAACGATACAGCTTGGGAAATTAATTAGATGCTCAAGTCAAAAGAAGCTTAAATTTTAATTTAATTTTAAATACATAACAATGGCGTCCAAAAGTATGCTTTAAAAAAGAAAGGAAACTTCGGAACACCGAAATTTGTATACTCTTGTCGTTTGCAATTAGTTCAGTTAAAATCGATTCTTTTTACTAAATTTAAAAAATACCCAATTAAAGAGATCTAAAAAATGTGTAAAAATATACTTTTCTTTAATTTCCTATAAAATAAACACATATATTCATCCGGTTATGATCGATTAAAAAAAAAACCAAAGAATATTTTAGAATCGTAAAAAAATTACCTAAGGTTTTATTCATATAAGTTAAAAAACAGGGAAGCTATAAAAAATTTCCCGTTAAATTTTGGATCGTTTCTATTGCAGGGTTATTTTATAGTCTTAAAGTTCTTATTAAATTCAGATTATGAAAAGCGGCCATATTTTAGAAATTATATATTTCTTAATCTTTTAATTTTTTTCTAATCAGTGATGTATATTATAAGTCATGCGATCAGGCCGGTTCCTAATAATACATTTATGGGAATATAAAGATTATAATCTAAAAATTTTTATTCAAATAGCTCTATTACTTTGAGATTAGTTTTCGTAGAAATGCATAGACGGTAAAGTCTAGATCGACTCTGCTGTTGATTTTGATCAAGAATATATATACTTTCTAGGGTCAGATATGATTTCTTTTCTGCGTTGCAAAATCATATGGTTTATGTTCTATAGCATAATTTGGGGAATATTTTAAGAATTAAATTTTCTTAGTATTAAAACTAAAAAATTAATTTTAAAAAAATTATTAAATTATTATTAACTTAAGAAGAGTCCCCATAAAATATTTCAAGAAAAACATAGGCAAAAATCGATCGACACTTAAATGTACTTTCAAAATATATACATTACTCCCTTTAAGTGACGACCGATCTTCACCTGATTCACTCTTCTTTTTATTTGATTAATTGTTTTATTTAGAAGCTTAAATTAAAGTATTATTTTAATCATCGTTCATCTTTCTGTCCGCTCGATTTCCTCATCAGCTTAGTGTGTGTGTGTATATATATATATCTATAATTTCCACTTGTCAATGATTATAAATCGTGTCTCACTTACCATCCCAAAAGCGATTTGGGAGGAAGGTATTGACGAAAACATAAGAAATCAACAAAAGATCGCTTCTTCAATAAAAAAAACTTTCGTACTGGCGCCGTCTACAAAAATTCCCTTCGACTTTTTGTTTGTTTTGTTTTATTTAAATTAATATATATATTTTTTGTTTTTATGCATATAATTAATAAATTTTAGTTTAGGCAAAAAACAATAATTACGCATCTCTCGTTTCAAAGAACTCAACTCTTAAATCTTCCTCATTTTCATGCTTTGCTTGCATATAATTTTCTGTTCGTTTCGATTAGTTTACGCTTACGTTTACGGGTTCTGTTGCTGTTGTAAAAATTATAAACTGAAATGACTTTTCGCTTCTTTCTCATAGGCATTAATTTAATTGTTTCTCTCGCTGCTTTTGTTTTATTTCTTATTTAAGAAGGTTGTTTTGTTGGGACTGAAGTAGAAGTAGAAGTAACCAAACACGATGACATAGTTTCATGACGGAAGGGACGACGACGACGACGACCTTTTCTGCTACCGCATTTATCGCTGCTGTTCCTTTTACTTATAGTATATAGCTTGCATTTGGTTGTTGTTGTTGCTACAATAACCGCACTCGATCTCCAATTACGTTCATAATCATAATCATCATAATTCGCTGCCGCCGGAACAACACGAAGGAGCAGCCGCCACACAATCTTATCCACGGATACGGGACAACCTTGGTCTTGGACTTGGGATTGATGGCATTTTCCTGCTGTTATATATTGTTTTCTTCTAGAGTGTGAAGGTTGCTCCCGTCGAAGTTGCAGTCGTTCCCGCTTGTGTTGCTAACGGATGTTGTCGACTAAAAACAGCTTCCTTCTGGCGGCTGAGCCAGCTTCAGGTTCTCTTTCATGGTCATAATCCTTCGGATTTCCTGCAGCATCGTTTTTATAGTGTACTCGCGGCTCCATCTGGCCAACATGGGCACTGATCTATGATCAACCTGTGGGAATTTCAAGTGAAAACATCATCAGACACCTCCATTGATATGCAAAACTGCTAAATCCAATTGTTTGTACTCACCACGCCATTGTTCTGGTTAATGCAGTTAATATTTACTTTAGTTAAAAACCTGAGCGTCGGCGGCTCATCCGGATAGTGTTCGCCACACTCGATCTTTAGCGAGTACATTCGATTCTCGAATGGTGTCTGTAAGCAATAGAATAATATATAATTACCAAGTTTCAATGAAAAACTATTTGCAATTACGACCCCTAGAATGTCGATGAGTCAGTCAATGCCCCATTCCACATTTGGTTTTCTATTTTTCAACTGCCACTGCACCTTAAACCTTGTCGGAGTTGTCGGACTACTGGAAAAGGCGGCCCCTCCAACCCAAACTCCTCAATGATTCATGCGGCGGCGCGCGCAACCTTCTTTGGCACTATACAAAAAATGCAAATCTAGTTTGCTTCGGGTTTCTCTTAGAAGCAATTAACAACGGAAAAGATTTTATCTATAAAATATGTATAAATTTCGCTGGCCTTACAATTAAATTTGCGTTAAGCATAGGGTCCTTAATTAGTGTTTATTGAGTAACCTTGAATGAAACCCAGAAAGCTAGACATTAAGATTGCTGTTTAGCTTTAGAAACTTAAGAAAGTGAGTTGAAGTATGCTTTAAGCTTAGCCTTACATTTCATATAGATTTCTTTAAGATACCCATACTTTAAGTCTTATTGTTACAGAACTAACCAGGTTTTTCCCATAAAAAGCTTTAAGCAAATTTAATTTTCTAAAGGTATGGAATTCCCCAAATACGATAAAACTGACTGATAACTTCAAAGGTCTTTTCACGATGAGTAGTACGATCAACTTTCTTATCAAATGTAAATATTACAAACTTTCATTCTTTTAGAAAAACGAGAAAGCCCAAGTGATATGCAATGCAAGCGTGCCTTTAATTTTCCTCACAATCATCGTTCTTTACGCAACCCGAGGCGATAAAATGTCAATAATCCTACCGAAATTACTGATTACTAGGGCTTATCTCGTGACGTAGCTAAAATAATGTAGGGGAAAGTGTATAGCTCTTCAGATCGCAGTGGAAACTTACTCTAGGCGGACCAATGATCATGCCGATCCAGTAGGTGAGCGTCATGTCGTCATCATTCTCCAATCCCCACGATATGGTGCCATCGCCCACGCCCTTCTGGCCCTGATCCAGCTCCTCCAGCAAACGGAAATTTCGTGGCACCACTGCAATGTGAAAAAAGTGAAGAGGTGAGAACTCGATTTAAACACGATGACATAATAGATTTTCACTGAAAAGCATTAATGTTTAAATAGCGTCATTAATGTTGTTTTCCTGTCTCCAATGCACAGAAAACAAAGTGTTTTGGACTTTAATCAAATTACAAATTTAATTTCCGAATACCGATAAAGGTATATATTTTTTGGCGAGTCAAAGAATTAAAATTTAGTTTTGTATTATGGAAAAGAATATTTTTATAGTTAGAAAAATAAGTTATCTGACTGAAATTAAGAAATAAATACTATAAAATTTGGGTTTTCTCTGCGAAGCTCTGATAATCTATAAAAATTCCAATAAGCCATCAGTTTCATCGCCTTCTTTCTCTCTGTGTGGGGTCATATGGGTACGCGTTGTTGTTGTTTGCGCTCTGCGTCTTGTGTTGTTTTTGTTTTGCGCCCGTGTGACTTTGCACGCATTTTCGTGCTGAAAAAAATGAAGTGCAAAGAAAAGAAAAGAAACCATAACGCGAGGCGCTGTGGAGGGTGTGTCGGCGGCGGCGGCGGGAGGGAGGCGCATAATTTCTGCATTTGCAAAAACAATCCGAGCAAATGAAATTTGCAGCTAATTTAATTAGAAAAAAGAAGCAGCTTGCAAATCGCACGCAAAACGCAAGTGTGCAAAAAAAAAGAAGAAAAATTCAAAAGCTAAATGGGAAGAGGAAGAGCGATGGAGACCGGAGGACAGGGCAGCGAGGGCGTCGCAAGAGGGGGTGATATTTCGGAAAATGTCAAGTCACGGACCAAAATTACTGCAATTGCAGCAGCGTTTTTCCAACGGAATGGATCGAAAAGGTAACAAGAAAGCGGCGTGGCCCGCTTGCAAAACTATCCATCGCTCCGTTCGCTTTTATCGGCTTTCGTCGTCGCCCTTGCTTTCGTTCCGTCTTCTTTTCCCCGTTTTCACACACACACACATTTCGGTTCGCTTTTCACGCTCGCTGCGGCGCTAAACAAGCCGCCGGGCTGCGGGAAATGCGGCCAATGGTTGGCCCTGAGTCCAGGCACCCACGGATCGCGTTAAAAAGCTGCCAAATCGTTAATTTATCAAATTTATTTCTTACCAACGCCGGTACTTGATGTATTCGCCATTGTGGTTTGCTTAGTGCTGGCAAAACATTATTCGATACTATCGATGTTTGGGTATTGCTATCAAAACATCGATTTTTTGTGCACTATCGATGTTTTGTAGATAACATTTAACAGAATTTGAGCATTTTTTAATTTATTTAAATGATATTTAAGTTTTTACTCAGTACAAGGCAGCAAAAGTATAAGAATCACTTTCCTTTAGCTCGGTTTTACCGAGAAATGGAGAAAGAAAATATTTCCAAGTTGAATGCGATATATTTGGCAAAGGCACATGAAAAGAAATATCTTTCTCATAGGTCCTCATTGAAAAATGAAATAATTTTATAAATGAATTAAATAATTTATGTGCAAAACGTAATTAAACTACTATTATTTCAAAACGATTGAATACTTCGTCTTTTAAATGCTTTAGTTTCCAGTAAACAAGACAATTGGAAAGTAAGGGTGCATAATTTGTCTTTCTTTGTTTAAAAAAAATGTACACGTAATAAGAATAAATGATTTTGGACTCCCAAATTTATTATTTTATTACGAAGCTTTTATAAAAATAATAAATAATATTAGTAACCAATTTATTAAATAAAATTCTTTTCAGTATTTTAATTTACTTGAAATACCAAGAATGGTCCCACTAAAACACCAAACTGCTATGTTATCACTACTGTTATTTAACATCAGTCCAATGCAACGCGTCAGCTTTTTAAACAAGCTTATTAATTATTATTTATTTTTAAATTATTAATTGGCGGATCGACCGCGACTAAAGCGATAAAGGAATGGAGACCCTATACCACCAGACCAACCATGCGGTGAAGGAGATAGAGCGGGACTTCCAGCGGCTGAGTCAACTAAGTGCCCAGGAATCCCTTGACGTGGAAAACGGAATTCAACTAAAGATTACACAGGCCAATTCGTGAGTCTTGCAGCTTACTTAACTTAATTACTTTACTTAATTTATTCTTGGATGACGCAGAAACTGCGACCGGTTGGATGTATTGCTCTTCAAAGTGCCGCCATCGCAGAGGCAAAGCTCCAAGTTGCGTGTGGATCAACTGAAGTACGACCTGAGACACCTACAGACCGCACTGCAAACCGCTCGAGAGCGCAGGCAGCGACGGATGCAAGAACTTTCTGAGAGGGAACAGCTTCTGAACCACAGATTCACGGCCAACAGCTCCGAGCCGGAGGACACGCGTCTGAACCTTGACTATGAACTGCAACATCATTCCCAGCTAGGCAACGCCCATCGCGGAGTCGACGACATGATAGCTTCGGGCAGTGGCATTCTCGAAAGCTTAATCTCCCAAAGAATGACACTGGGTGGAGCTCACAAGCGAATCCAGGCAATTGGCAGCACACTGGGTCTATCCAATCACACAATGAAACTTATTGAACGGCGACTGGTCGAGGATCGAAGAATATTCATTGGCGGAATGGTTGTCACTCTGCTTATCATCGCCCTCATCATTTATTTCCTAGTGCTCTAAGCTATAAGTGGTAAAACTGACATTTTTAAATGAAATGTACTCTATTTTTAAAGCACCTTTAGAAAGAATGAGATTCTCTCAAAGGCAGGCACACCGCAAGTCATGCATGGGTCACAAACTCTCAAGAGTACCTCATATCATGAATATATTTTCAGTTAATAAGACACTCATGCTTTCCATCCCATTATCAACAATAATGCTTCTCTAAGTTGAGTTTAAATTAAAGTGTACTCTATTTTGTTAAATGTTAAATGCACAATCGGGTGATTTAGTCATCGCTTTCCAGGGAGATGTTGCTACCGAAACGCTGATACAAATGGGCCTTCAGCTCATCCATTTCCGCCTTAATGACCTTGGCCTTGGCCTCAACGCTGGCGATTTCTTTCAGCACCTGCTCCTTGGTCTCCTTCAGCAGATCCTGTGTGGCACCCAGTTTGTGGGAGAGAAAGACTTCGCCCACAAGGAATGGGATATCCTCATCCTCGTCGAACAGCTCGATCTCCTCCAGTGCCTCCTCCACGCACTTCAGCTCGTTGCGCTTCAGCTCCAGCTCGGCCTTGAACTCATCCATGCGGGCATTGTGCTTGGCGAAGCGGTTGATCCTCTGCTGGTCCTCGAACGAGATGTGAACATCGTCGTGCTGCGGGGAATTAAATTGATTAGGACAGGACGAAATTGTATATGTAGTGAAAGCGCGGGAGTGGCTTTATTTGTGAATTAATATTATAATGCCTTTAATCAGGCTTTAATGTTTCTTTTGTGGCCACCGGGTGAACATTCATTTACAAAGTGAGGTTACTTTAACCGCATCAGCTGTCTCTTGATGATTCACTGAATACTCACATTCTGGAACACCTTGTTCGTGCCGCTTGCTACCTTTGCTGCCATTTTCGATGATTTTGTGATAGCTTTAATAAATAATTTTGACTGTTTTACAAACAGTTGCTATTTTGTTGCTATTTTCCAAAAATTAGTGCTGCAGCAGTGTGCTTGCCTGGTGTTGCGTTTATAATACCACAGTTTAACTGAAAATATTAGGGTTTTCTATTTGACACCACATGGTCACACTTGCTTTGAGCTCGAACGAAATCAAACAGCGCGGAGTTTTCAAACATTTACCGGAAACGTATCTGATGAAAAGCGTGCTTTAGTTATTTTCACACCCAGAAAGTGGTGGAAAGCTACAAATTGAGGAAAAACTTTACTATATTACTGGTAGCGCAATTATGGTAACCGCTCATGCTAAAGTCGCCACTGAATGGATAAGTACAATGAATGTTAAAACTTGTTTAAATGCAAACAAATTGTTTTTGTTTTTAATCTGAAATTAATAAGTATTCTTAATAAAAAATAAAAATGATAGCCTCATTTATGGTAAATATAAAGCAATTGAAAGCTTTCGCCTTTTCTAGAGTCACTAAAGAAGTTAAGTGTTTCAAAATGTTCTTTTTAATATTTTATTTTAAAGCATATTCTCTGCAATTTTCATTGCAGTATAGAGCATAAAATAAATTAACCATAAATCTGTAATATATCATTTAAATCTAAATTGTAAATTAATGTCAATTTGCTTATTGAATTAATTCATTGAAATTAATTATATAGAGAAAAATAATAAGCGAAGCTCCTTTCCTAAATATTGTAAGATACCTAAGAGATGGTAAAACATTTATTATTATTATTAATATTATTATTATATTTACTATAAAAATGGGTTGAAGTGCTAGAATATGTTAGTTTTTGTGATAAAATTTTGACCTACCTTAGCTCTAATATTTAATAATATAATTAAGAGAATGAATGCCAAAAATTAAATACGTGATTGCAATTATTACCCACAGATTTCGATTTGGAAAATATTCCCCATTGATTCGAATCAAATTAAGGCCACCGCAACAGCTAATTAGTCAAAGTTATTACTGCTTCCTTTTTTTGGCAATGCGATTGAATCACTAATTGTTTGCACATGTCACACATTAGACTAAAACTAATAAATAATTCCGGTTAATCGCCATAATTAAACGGGATTTCTTCACTCGTTGCAATTAAATTTCCGTTGGCAGCTTAGGAATTTCCTTTTGTCCTGCTCTCTCCGCTCCCTTTTCCATTGAATTTCCCGATTTCATCCGCATTAAGCACACAATTTCGGATGGAGAATGCATTTGCCACTTTCATTTCCCTCCCCTTTTGGAATATTATCAAAATATGCAAATGCAATTAGACGCAACTTAACATTATCCATTAAGGCAGAGAAAAGAGAGAGACGGGGGGATAGTGTTAATATCCTGAAGATGACTGGGCTTTTCCTTTCGCTTTTCCGCCGAAAATCCCTTTGGGCATTGTCATTTTACAAATTGGAATCAGTTTCGGTTTTAGGTAATATATATGTATATAGCAAATTAAGGTAGGCAAGGGTTGAGCATATTTATGTAAATAGTACATATACATATATAGTGCAAATCACTTTTGATCCCTTGCAGCAAAGTGTGTGCAAATTGTAGCCTGATTTATTGAATTTGCATCTCATCAATTTCCAACAGAGCGATGGAAAAATGTTGTTCACAGCAACAAGTTGTTCGTTGATTTGTATCTTTGTATCTCGTATCTATGGAACATTTCAATAGTTTATCAGTTTAGCTTCACAATCGGATTATACATGCACGTTCTGGCCTAGAAATTCTGGATTTAAAATCAACATTTTCTATTGATTTTATGTTGTATGCAATTTAATTTTAAACTTGTTAGTTTATTTGATCGAAATGCAACAAGGATATTGTTCATAATTAAAGCGGATTTTAGGAGTGTGAAAGGATGTGTGTGTGTGTGTGGCATAACTTATTCATAGAGATTATTTTTGGAAGCAGATTAAATTCTGATGTTGAGAAGTGTTTAAATTGAGATTTGGTATGTGTAAAATTTATTGAGGCTTCTAAAGGTTCATTATTTTGAAGTGCTTAAATATTTAAAGGTTCCACAGAAATTTAAGATACAAGAATCCTTGAAGGCTTTGCCTTAATTATTTCAATATATATTTTTTTAAATGTTTTTGATTGGAAATTAGAGTTTTTTATGTGGCACTTATATATCCTTTATCCTTAGCTTAAAGTATATACAATCACTTGGAAATCTTTAACCAATAAATGACAATAACTAAGGGCTTTAACATGCTTCTTGTTCTGCCTCCCATGGAGAGCTGTGACCCACTTTCGGATCATCAAGTGATGCCCACATCGAGTGTCATACATATGGCTCGGACCCGTGGTTAAAAGGATACGCCTCCTCTCGTCCCATCCATTCTTCTCCAGTGCGTGGATGCGGCACCACACGAGGGAAATCAAAAGACATGGCGTCAATCAGTTTTCCACTAAACCAGGCAGATGTTGGTTGCCTCCTGCGGGCTTCCTTTTTCCGCCATCCTTTTTGGTATTTTCCAAGCCCCTCATTCCTTTTCGATCTGCATCAAGTGAAAAACTTGGCAGCACTCTCCTCTCTCTCGAAAAAGAGGCAGTTAAACTTTGCTTAGTCCTAACTATTGATATATTTCGTGTGCTTCTGTAGGTGGTATTTACATTTGCCCAACTATTTCATTGTTTGTCCATTTTGCTGGATGGATGTGCTTTGATTTCGATTTCATTGCACACAGGTGCACAAGGACGAGGGACAGTTCGGTACGGTTGGGTAACTGTTATTTGATCAAGGATACTATTTGTTGCATCCTCTGTAGTTTTAGTACATTTAAAAAAATTTGAGGACTTTGAAAAGAATTTAAAATGGTTATTTTAAAATTCAACAACTCCATAAACTGATTAGTATAATAGTTTATGTTTAAGAACTACTTTTGCACAAATAAAATAATTTAATAATGGATTACTTTGAGGGGTGTGGAAATAAAAACAATAATTATTAAAGGTTTTCACTCACTTATTCTGTATCGCGCTTTTTTTCTCTATTTCTATCTCTGGGTCTTAATTTCTTTATCTCTCTTTTTTCTCTCCCTCTTTCTCCCTCTCTCTCTCTTTCTCACTCTCTTTTTATCGTAATATTTTTCGGTATGTCTATCACTCTCTGTGCTTCTCTACATATCTCTTTCTCTCTATCCCTCCCTGCATGCCTCTAGAGGTACCCCTTTCTCTCTCGCTCTCAGTTTCTCTGCTCTCTTTGCTCGGGGACTATAAATACAGGCACTACCTTCGCGCTGCCCTCATTCTGTTCGCGGCCTTTCCAGTGTTTACATCTCTAGTGATAGTGATAGTGATAATAATAGTGCCCTCCAAAAAATAATACATACGTGGCCTATGTAATAGATCTGAATAACCAGGAAGAAGGCCATATATTGAAGTCAACAAGAATATACATAACTCTACACTGGAGGAATAATGCGGTAAGTTTTAACGATGACAATTATATTATGTATTTAGCTATGCATTTATTTTCCAATTAATTCCCCTACATAATTTTAATTTAAAGTGACATGGCACATTTTTCAAGTGTATACACATTGCTTCGTTGTATCAGAATACTTTAAAGCCCATCACTTCCTGTTTATTTGGTACAACTTTCTATGACTGTATCTAACTTTGGACTCTTGTAACCCTCCGGAGGGTCAAAGTCTCCGACGGCATTTGTTAATGTTTAATGTTAAATTTGACCTTAATATTTATGCTTTAAGTTGGCCTCCAGCCTCTATATATACATATATAGATTAAGTCAAGGCTTTCACAAATTGAGTTAACATCTCAGGGTTCTCATTTCGCATTCTGTTTTCGTTTCGCTTTATTTTTTTCGGATTCGATTGCAATTTGTGTTATTAAAAGAAGCGAGATGAACGGAGGGGATTCTCAGCTATGGCTTTAATGCGTTAATTTATCACTCAGCCAGACCCCAGACCCCAGACCCATTCTATATGGATATAAGTATAAATATATATAGGGATAGCTCGAAATGAGAGTCACGTGCCCGCCGAGAGTCTCTTCTGTCCCTGATGAGAGGCTCCGAAAGGATTTATGGCCACACTTAAGTTTAGCCTCCTGATGGGGCTGAATTTGAGTTTTGTTCTCGGCCTCCCCCGGACAGGTGCCATATACATATATAAGCTGAAAATGAATAATAATGGCAGCCACTCATATATATGATTAACCCGATGAATGATAGGCTAAGTGGAATCAGCGACATTTCTTACACACTTGGCTAATGTGCTTTTAATGAGCGTGTGATGGTAAAGTTTTTTCGGAATATAACTTTTGATTTAGTCATGGGGAAAATGTCATTAAACTGGGCTTAAAATATAACCAGTAATAAGATTGGAGTTAAGGTTCCATACACATAACGTGGGATATCATAATACAGAGGTAAGAATATGACTTTTTTTTAGTATTATGTTGTAGTTCTTTTTTGAAAGAAAGTAAATGTTTTTCTTTTATTATTTTGAAGTTAATTACATAATTTAATATTATTTAAATATATTTCCAGTTATAAAGATAATTTATTTAATTAAATAAGTTACTAGTCCTATCTTTTCTCCCTTGTTTTATATTCCACAAACCCTTTGCATCCATCATTTCTTCCTTCAAAAATAATTTCTTTGTCCTGGTAGCAAGTACAATCGACTCAACTTTTGGTTAATTATAAACTCCAGTGTTTTTAATACTCCAACATTAGGTGCACAAGTTGGCAAATGAATGCTCATCACAACCTATGTATCTGACACACAAAAGGTGCTCGTTGAAAACTGAAAAGGGGCAAACTGCTGACGTCTCATAAATAAATCATAGAAGGTTCTCACTCTCACTCGAACTCGGAAGGAAGGCTTTTGGCAGGTTGTTCATTTCATAAATAATGAGGTAGACCTAGGCGAACTCTTTGCCTTTTCCCTTTGAAATGCAAAATAAATGGAATTTTCAGACACCACATGGCGTATGCGCAATACTTTTGCTCCTTACCGCAAGGCCTTAGGTTGTCTTCATTTCTTCATTTTTATTTTTTTGGGGTTTTATATGTTTGTTT